AGTCGATTCCGAAAACTCGTCATTTGACTCGAAAAGTGTGACTCCAATGGAGTCATCGCATGATTTGGAGGATAATAGTCTTGAGTTCGACAGTCGTGCCAACCATTCGCCCAAAGCATTCACAGTCCCCGCGATGTCTCATATGTTGAATACTGACGAATCAGTGGTCTCTGAGGCCCACAATCACATGGATATCAAATCCAATGTTGTCTCACAAATGGTATTTATGTACACATTGTCTCGTATAATGACTTCAAATGGAATATACTTTGATTTGATGAACTTAGCATGATACATTATTCCCTATGAATCTTAATCTGAACACCCTATTACACCCACTAATATGATGCACTAATATTTACAATTAGAATATACAACCAGTAAACCCATACCTACAGTATAATATACATATTATGTTCATTTGGAGTGTTTTTTATGGTGAGCACAAATGATCTTACAGATTGCAAATGAACATGCTTATAGATATAGTGTACGATGATATGGGAATGGGAGGGGATACTTGTAACACGGTATACTAATAATAGGGTAATGGTGATGGGGTATATTTATAAGCAAACTATTAGCGTAGGATAAAAGTGAATGAATTAGTGTCTCATATATTGAATGAATGGTTTGCTTTGAAACAGACAATGGATTCGACAACGGATTCATTGGAGAGTTTGAAGAAAAGAGTGAAAGTATTGGAGTTTAAGAATAGAAAACTTGAGGAACAGAACAGTGAGTTGAGTGTGAAGTTGAGTTCAGTCGAAGAGGAGAATGAAGACTATAAGCGGACTAACGAGGAGTTCCAGAGGAGTACCGATGAAATAAAACGCAAGCAGTGGTGCACTAATTGTCTGAAAGAAGGTTTGTCTCAATAATTGCTTGAATGCTTGTACTGAATGTATGCCAACTTGTGTTGTTAGCCATTCTTCCGTGTTGTTGGAACACCTGTTACTGTAGTGTCGAGTGTCAGCACAAGCATTGGCCCATCCATTCAAAGAGCTGTCGTCGCCGCCAACCAACCAAATGAGTGCTAAACCTTATGATCTATATTGTGCTCAATGGCAACGTTAGTCATAGTATTATGGACTGGCTCATATTTGACGCATTTTCTACATTTGAAATTCAAGTTATACTGTATTGAGNCTGTCGTCGCCGCCAACCAACCAAATGAGTGCTAAACCTTATGATCTATATTGTGCTCAATGGCAACGTTAGTCATAGTATTATGGACTGGCTCATATTTGACGCATTTTCTACATTTGAAATTCAAGTTATACTGTATTGAGATGTTTGTGAAAATAGATGCCATTACTTTATACATTGTTACTACAAATTGTTTTAGTTATTAACACTTTTATAATACATTCATTACATGTAAATTCATTGTTCACCCATTTCTCCATAACTACACTTTTATTCATACAAATAGAGTTTAAAAAGAGATTAAAAATATTTAATTACATTTGACAAACAAATCAAACTTTTATCATATTTTGTTTAACAGTGTTTATAAATTTACTTAATAAACATATTTTAGTAAACATTGGATATTTTAATTGTCCAACTTTTTTAAGATAATGTCAACTTAAGTCAAAGTGCCGCTCAATACAAAGTGATCCCGATTCAATTGCAATTAGTGCTGTAAACCAATTGAGCAAATGTTTAGATTATAGGATTTCAATATCCTGTTTGATCGCATTTCAATTGCAACTAATTTCATGTATGGGTAATAACAACAAAGTTTTGGCTCAATAGAGACAATAATTTATTAAACAAATACCAGTAATTTGTTGAGTGAAATATATTCAAATGAATAATAAATAGTTTGAATAAATAAATGAAAGTCATAACGACATATAAACGGTGTCGTGGGCTCTCTTTTGGTGGACTTCCAGATGATGACAATTGGATGTCTTGTAGTGACAATTAGGAAAATGACAGAATAAAAGCACTGCTCTATTGTTGGCTGTGTTGTGCTCCGAGTGATCATTGATTGGATGAGTTTGAGGTATAGATTGACTAGAATCCCAGCCATACGTGTAGTCCATTCCGTTTGAGTGGTTCATGTGATTGCCATTCAATGGCATTTGGCTTTTAAATGCTTTCATTTCAAACTGATTGACTGATTGGTTTGAATGATACATCATATGTTGCCTCAAGAGCTCCGAGTCATCAAACCTGAGACCACATTGAGTGCACACTTTTCTGCTCACGCTGTGGATCGTCTGATGTCGCAAGAATTGAGTTCTGTTGGTCAATGTGAGGCCACAGTTAGGCCACTGACAGGCAATTGTTGTCTCCATTTTGGCCGCAATTTGTGGCTTCGTTTCAGTCACTTCTGGCAATTCTGGGACATTGGGTGTCATATCATCCGTTTTGATGGATTCACTGGTGATATACTTATGCGTACGAGTGATATGTTTGTTGAGATTTTTCTTTATTTTGTACCCTTTGTCACAATAACTGCAAACAAAACTCTTAATAGCTTTGCATTTGAGATCTTTTGGTGACATTTTGTTGTCCACACCATTGGTCTCATGAATAATGGCATCACTCGCACCGACACTCTTAGTGTTCATTAGTTGGTTACTACACTCTACTGTCACATCTAGTCTTGGAGTGGATTCACCATCTGATGCCTCATTGATGTCGATGTCAATACATTTGGCACTCTTATCGTCTGGTTTATGGTGACAACCATTATCTGTAATACCGTTACACTCAACGAGTTCTTTGATGTGTTCTTTGGGGATGTGTTGAGACAAACAGTCCGTCACTTGATATTGAGTTGACTTTTCTGTTCAATCAATGCATAAGACATAAGACATTGGAGTAAATGACAGCAATTGAGAGCAATGTTTGCCTTCAATACCTTTGAAGAGACGGTGGACAGGGGTGTCGAGTGATGGGTGTCTGGGGAGACATACTTTGGCTGATTTGTCGCATTCAGAGATCATCCGGATTTGGGACAACAGCTGTGTCTGAGTTGATCTCAATTTGCTGTTCGTCTGCTTTCGAGGACTTCTTCGGCGATTGCCATTCATTTGGATGCAGTTGTGGTAGAGTTTGTCATAGAAGTGGTTCAGCAGTTGATGTCTGGAGAGCAATGTCTTGAGTCTGTGTTTGTCTCTATGAATGGACTGTATTTTGCAAATCAATTGACTTTTGTTTAATTCAATTAATTGACTCATTGTTTGATTGTTTGACACAATTTCATAGACTGTATGCCAAACACTCATCACTAATAAATCAATACAAAGTCCATTCATACAAAACGTATCACATTTGCCACACATTGAGCGCCCCTTTCAATGCACTCATAGGCTATACTGTGTATGAATACAAGCCATAGAACACACCCTTTGATGACATAATTGATTGAGTGAGTGAGTGGTCACGTGTGCACTGATTGCGTGCTTTTGTTTTGCTTATGAATTGGCGCTTATTTGCAGTGAAAGTGTTGAACCCATCGGACACTCGACCACTCATTCAACTGATCCCTCAGTAGTGATGTCTTTGTCACAAATACCACAAACTATCTTCAAATGTGAACCATTCGTCTGCGCCCTCAAAGGCAACCAGAAGTC